ATTTGCAAAATAATGTTAAATGTGAAATTGAATTTAAGAGTTAAATTTTAGAATTTCACGTATCCGAAAAATAAATTGTTTATTTTTTGATTTGAAAACCATGAGATGTTTTTTCAAACAAAATACATATTTGCAAAATAATGAGTGGGAGAGGGTTGTATGACAATGCGACCCACTGGTCTCCATCATTAGTTCAACACCGTGAGATTCGAAAGGGGCTTCGCGGCGACACTGATTCCGCACTCCCTACGGAAAGTGTTCTTTCGGATCAATAACAATGTTGACTTCCTAGTGATAGGATTCAAGGATGTATTTCCGGTTTGACCTACCCTACGGCGGCACTTTGGAGTTAAGTTTGAAGAATCTGAAATGATGGGTTACACTCATGAAAATGTAATCAATTTGTTGATTATATTTTTGACCAAAAATAACGGTAGATGATAAATATGAAAAAATGAGATTTTTTGATTATATTTATCAATTGAGAAGGTGTCGGTTTAATTTGTGATATTTTGACCTACCCTACGGCGGCACTATATTCGTGGTAAATTGGATTATCGTTGCCACCAAAAATTAAAACATGATTTATGTATTTTTCATGTGCATCATGCATCATATTTAATTGAGCCTAAATTAACATGCCTTGATATTCATGCATATAAATTGATTAGATGAATATTCTATTTATTTCTAGCAATATGTCGAATCCCATTATCACACTACTAGCGACTGAAAAATTAGACGGTGATAACTATGTTAAGTGGAAAAGTAACATGAATATACTGTTAGTCTGCGAAGACTACAAATTTGTCCTAGTGGAGGAATGTCCTCCTGAACCCGCGGCTAATGCAACCAAAACCGCAAGGGAGCCTTATGATTGCTGGATCAAGGCCAACAACAAAGTAAAGTGCTTTATTGGCCAGTATGAGCGATGTGCTTCGCAAGAAGCATGAGGAGATGGTGACTGCTTATAAGATAATTGAGTCTCTAGAAGCCATGTTTGGCGCTCCTTCTGAGAAGGCTCGTTTGGATGCTGTAAGGGCTTTCATGAACGACAAGATGAATAAAAGTTCTCCAGTCAAGGCACATGTTTTGAACATGATTGATCACCTCCATGATGCGGAGCTCAATGGTGCCAGGATCGATGAAGCCACCCAAGTTGGCATCATCTTGGAAAGCCTATCCCCTGATTTTCACGAGTTCATGAACAACTTTGTTATGAACAAGAAGAGGTCCAACCTCACTGAATTCTTGAATGACCTGCAAAACTTCGAATCCACCAACAAGTGAACTCATGAATGACCTGTAAAACTTCGAATCCACCAACAAAAGAAGGGGAGGAGAAGCAAATGTTGTAGTTGCAGGTAGTTCTTGTAAAAATAAAAGAAAGAACCAGAATCAAGGGAAAGCGAAGAAAGGAAAGAACAAGAGACCCAAGAAGGCTAAAGGCCCCATCCAGAAACCCAAAGGAAAGTGTTTCCACTGCAATAGTGAAGGGTACTGGAAGAGAAACTGTCACAAGTATCTCGAGGAGCTGAAAAAGAAAAAGGAACAAGGTAAATCAGATTTACTAGTCCTTGAAACATGTTTAGTAGAG